ATCTTTTATTTGAGGATATATTTGATCTACAAGTTGTTTATCGGGTTTGCTGACTGTTCGATTTTGAGCGCGAACAAACGTTCCAGAACTATCGATGGTGCGGCTGTATACTTGCCCTTCCTTCTGAATTTTACAAAACTCTTTATTACTTTATTGATTTCATTGAATCTAATTATACCTAGGAAGGGTCGATCTCTGCTGATTGGTTCTAATACATTTGATTCTTTGTTTTGTATGTCAATTCCAGTCGACCCTACTCTCGACTGCAGCGCTGCCGTGTATTTTCTAGAAAATTCTGTGAGTAGTTTCCTCTTGTAGAGTAGAGCAACGCGACATTAGATGGGCTCGATTCAGAAGGTGCAAGCTCCGGCCGAGGCACTCGCGCAGCCCAACATGTACGCGCCTGCCACTCCTGGTCAAGAACAGCAGCAACAGTAAGCTGGAAACAATCATGAACAAATCTAAAACAATGCTCCTAGAGTAATGGAAAATCCAGAGCCACCAAAAGGAAGGCTGGAAAGGTTTCGCGACTATCTTGGACGAACTTGCTGTTCGTGTTTTTTAAAAGTAAAGTGACTCTTTTGATTACGCTTTTTGCTTCGTACAAGTACCAGCGAATTTAGTTACCAGTTGTCGTGATCATTGTCGCGATATGCATCATACTGGCTCTGCTGCTGGCACTCATACCTACCATAGTGATTCTAACAAATTCGGAACGTTCGCAAAGTCGCCAGACGGACGGTCTAGAAGCTGGGGTACGCTCTCTGTAAAATTATTCTTATAAGTAGGCAACATTCTTTGCAAATGAGTGTTTATAAAATGATAGTCCGGAAAATTTTGTTCGTTAAATATTCATCTTGTGCGGTCGTTCGTTTCGTTGACGCGCAATAATATGACGCGACAAAGATAGAAGAATATTCAATATTCATGTAGCAATTCTCATTATTGCGTCATTTGTAAGTAGTAAGACTTCAAAAGTCATCAAATGCGTCACTGGCTAAGAAGTCAATACTATCTATAGGCTTTGACATGGATGTTTTCAAACTCGAGCCATAAACATCCCTTTTTTTACGTGAAATAACACGGATACCAGTTATCTCATGCTATTTGAAAATCAAGCTGCTATTTGCAGGTAGAATGAGATAGGTAT